AGTTTTCTGACAAATCTTCTTGGTTACTATGTCATATTTTAAACAATTAGTCTTGCATCTGTGCAAATAACACTATACCATTTATATAAAAACATTGATTATTTGTAAAGTTTAATTTTTACTAGATAGTTTCGTTGATGTTTATTTCTTGTAAAAGAACAAGAGAAAATTTGTTTTTTCTTCTTCATTAGTTCATTTATTTCATCTTTTATTTCATCATCTGGTTCTTCCGAAGAGAAACTAATAAATGTGTCTCTAAAGTTTTATGTTTTGTCTCATTTTAGCCTGGCTTGATTTTTTAATTCTTTACTCATTTTTTTAAAAATCCTATTTTCTTATAACATTTTAATGAAACCTGTGTCTACCTTTTATTTCATTCAATATAAGTGTTAAAATCATAAAAATTAGTTTGGATTAGGAGTAATATTTTACTTCTTTATCTTCTTCAAAACTTTTTAATTAGTTTTTAAGAAGTGACTTTTAATATCACTATCCGTTATACATTTACTACTTCTAAGAGTTGTACTTGTACTTGCATCCTTTACTTACAATAATTATGATCTATCTAGGAACGGTTTTGAAGCAGTTCAATCAATTTATATTACTTCTTGTACCTCAATTCTGATGTATCAGAATTAAATACAATCATATATTTTATTTACGAATTTCTTCATCTAACTTAACTCATTTAATTTCTTATTTAAATTTACAAAAATTTAGATGTGTGTCCTTTTTACCACATTTGAAGCACGTTAAATCTTATATGAATTTTAGTTGAAGATTATATTTTTTACTTTTAGATTTTTATAATGTTAGGCTTTCGTTTATTTATAATATTTATCTTAACTTGTTTAGACTTATAATGCTTTTAGAAGTTTTAGAGCTTTGAAGTTGTAAACATTGACCACTATATTTTGTGAAGATGTTATACCATAATCAAATTGTTTACAAAAACTTCCTAATTCTTGTTTAGTCTTTTCAATTTATTATTTTTAAAGTTCTTTGAAGTTTTAAGTCTTGGCAAATTTGCAATCCCTTCTTTTGGATGTCATATCTAATTAAATGACCATAAGTATTTATTATATGAATTTTACCATTTGTTTTTTATATAAATTCCTAATCGTTCCTCTAAAAAATAAGGTAAACCAGCTAAAGAATTTTCTTTTCAAAAAGCTTGGTTTGAATCTTCCCTAACCATTAACGAGTAAGGAATAAGAGGTTTTATAAGATTGGAAAAATGACTTAATTGTTACATTTTAAATTTATTAAAGAGTTCCGCATTTTGATCTTTTATATGATGATCTCCTATAAAAGTAATGAAATTAATCATATTAAGGTACAAACAGCATCCGAATTAGCTCACCATGTTCACATTATAGAGATTTCATCCTCATTCATTTACTTGAACAAATTTAAAATATCTAACTGTGTTTTAGTGAGTATAATAATCCCACCATCCTTTTAATTTCCTATAAATCCTGCCAATGAGGATTTCAGCTACTGCTTATTCAAGATATGATGACTGGTTTATAAGCATTTTTCCAGCATGTCATTGTTGCAAAATACTAAATTTATATTTAGATAATCATCTATTATTCCATTCATTTATAATTGATTTAGCATTTAATGAAATTGGATAACATATGAGTTTTATTCAATTATTCCTAAATCTGGACTTAGAAGGATAAACTCTTATGGGTTATATGTATAAAATTGTTTAGCATCATCTGAGTCAGTTCACTGACATTAGAATTGGAATAGTTATTCTATAAATATTGTTTAGAAGCTTGATTGTATCAGACCTACTTGTGATTAGATCTGAACGTAACTCAAGTTGACTTAAAAGTTGATTTTTAAAGAGTTCCTATAAATTTAGAATTTAATTCCTTTGACTAGATTTAGAAATTTGATATAGTTTAAACATATAGATATTTTACAATTTCTTTACCTTTTACTTGTTCAGTATTAGTGGTTTATCTTTAAGTAAATTCTTAGCTTTTTTTAATTGTGTATTTAAAAACAATAAACTAGCATTTACTAAAAATATTTTTTCCAATTAATTTTTATCAGGAATCATTTCTCTACATTTTATATGGGCACATACTATCTCATTGTCTTGATATTTCAATTACTAATGGTTTTAGGAGGAAAATCAACTCTGAATTTTCCTCTCGTTGAACTACCATTCCAGGTCTCTTATCACGAATCTTATAGGATTTAGACTTTTATATTTCTAATTAAACGAAAACCAATCTAAAAACTTAATTTAGTTTAGTTTTGAATTTGGGTTAAATATTCTTCCCTTTAATCTTCAAAAACTATGATTTTTAATTATTTTATTTAACTTCATAGATTTTATTTTAGTAATTTCTCGTATAAATCTTATAATTTCTCTTTAGTTAAAACATTTAATCTCGATTTATTTCACTAACATTTCATTATTGCTGATGCGTTGGTATTTCTGGTTGAATTATTCACAAATTGGATTGTTGGGTTAAATAATTATTCCAACAGGGTATAAACTTGCCTGTGGAACTGAATTACTATAATCAATCCTTCATTTAAAGATTGACTAGAAGGAAATCTTTGAAGTAGAATATCTAGTTTTACTAAAGTTGTATAAGGGGAGATTCCAGGTTCTTTGTATATGTGCATAAAATTATTGATAGGTAATTGGTTTATCATCACTTAACCACAGAAAATGAAGATCCTGTAATACCTAGAGCTTTGATTTCTATTAAATTTAAGTTACTTTACCATCTCAAATTGTTCAATTTTTGTATAATTGACATTTGGTTTACTTTTTCTTCATTCGAAGGGGAACTATCCCTTCCATAAATCCATCCTCTGTAAGGTTAATCCTTCCATGGATGGTTTAGTGTATTCACCGTGGTTTATTAAATCAGTTTGAAAAATCTCGTTTCTCCAAAAGTTTAGGTGCAAATTTTATATTTTTACTAAAAGCTGAATTCATTGCTTATAATGAAATTTATATATTAAAACTATAGAATCTGATTCCTTGTTCATTTCATTAATTATGATTTTAATTTCTAAAAACTATACTTCTAAAATATTAATCATTTAGAGAAAACATCATATCTGATTAGACCTCAAAAGAGATCGTCCTTCACTTAGACTTGTTCAACAGAAACTTAATAAAGAGTCTTAGAAATAAAAAATCTAGCATTTCTCACTACCGCAAGAATTAACTATGTAATCCTTCTCTGATTAAAGTTTATACCTACTTGAATAAACCTATATGAATATATTTATATTTGTATGTCTATGTTGTTGTAAAGTTTAGAAGAAAGTAAAGTGATTCGGTTCAAAAGGTTTACTCAAGTGAAATCTCTTTCTTCATTTTAATAACGATAATCGTTATTCCATAAAGAAATTACTAATCTTTTATAAAATTTGTTCTTTATCAACTTTAGTATTTCTCATTCCATCAATGCTTTACTAAAATCTTTAATATTAATTCATTCTATTTATTACCCTTTTAATTTTCTGAGAATCAGAATCATCCATTTAACACTATTACAGATCGACATAGTAAAAAGATCCATTTGATATAATCACTTAGGTAGCACCACTGCTTGGTTACCACCCTTTTTCGATTGCCCAACAAAATCTGCAAACAAATGGTCTTACTTCACGGGTCCATAGCAATATCGAATACCATACATTGATATATGTCCAAATGATACTTTACTAGAAGAGATCGTTGAACAGTTGCTTAGAATCGTTTTGCTCTGTACCAATTATACCAAGAACTGTTCACTTCTTGGATAACAATATATATATATATATATATATATATATATATATATAATATATAATATATATATATATATAAACTATCTAAGATATTTCCACTTCAATATTTGATTAGTTACAACTCTTTTGAATGAATTTTAAGACTTTATTGAAAGCCATTTGGTTTTGTAATGCTGCTAATTATTATCTTTTTACCATTATTTGTTCATGCTACAAATAAAAAAAAAGGAAAATATTCTTTAAAAAGATTGTCTAATTTATATTCTGAATTGGAATCAGCAGAGTTCAAAGCCGTCTTAAAAACCGTCCAGAAGCAGTTTAAATCCAGTTTCACCTTATTTGAAACTAGAACCTATAGTTTCAAATCTAAGACCAAGTGGTTCTTGAACTGTAGTCATTGCCTAAATAGAGACCAATTTAACTATCTACCACTTCTACTCTAGCATCCAGTTGCCGTCAGTAAATATTGCTACCCAAAAGGAAACAACATGATGTCTATTAATAGTAATAATATTTTCTTAATACATTTTCTCCCTCTGGAAACATATTTGAGAAATGCCAAAGAACGTGAGACTCTTCTCACATTACATGAAAAACTATTTGTATGGGGACATCTACCCCATGTGAAAATGTCCATATAGACATGAAATAGACAAGATGAATCACTTGAAATGCAAACAATAAGAATGGAAAACTTCGATAAATAATCTAAAATTGCACAAATAAATAATAATAATAATAATAATAATAATAATAATAGATTAACTAATTTCAATCATCTGGCTAAAATTAATATACAATGCTAGAAAAGGTACATCCATGATCATTCTCTCTTCGAGATTGAAGATCCTGACCTACTGTGTGCAGCGTGGTACTTTCGACTATTTTGTATTATGGACAGGAAACAACAAATATCATATTGTTCAGAGCTCAGTGTGAGCAGAGGCTGAAGGCAAAACCTTCTTCCCTCTGCTTTCATACTATGTCACTGGTTTGATTTTAAGATGAATATGGGCAGGTGAGAGCACTTCGTCCTCTTCACCCAATAATTCTACATTTCCTAATAAACTCGTTCGAAAAATTTACATGTCTATTCCATAAGCTTTGTACCTCTGAGAACCCAATCTCAAGCCAGGGCTTTGCAGGGCCACTGAAATGTAAAACGGCAGCAGCTTCTAATGTCTCTCTTTGAACTTCTGGAGGTCTATGACCTAGTCCAGCCAGATGCCATGAAGGGTCGATAGGATGCACATGACCCTCAAAAGCAAGTAAGGCTGCTGGAAGTGCCCCTGGTCGCCACAATTCTAATCCAGATTTGAGGTTCTGCAATCAAGAAAATTGACATTAGGCAGAAAGAAGAATAATATTATATACTCATTAGCAGGTGATATTCCAGCATCATCAGAGCGGGTGTACATGTATCATATTCAATCATCAAAAAATTGCAGCACGAAACTCACATGTAAAAGCTCCTCACCCAAATAATGCAGGAGATTTGCAGTAGGTTTTAGCCAAAATAAAACTTTGGCATTCTTTATGATAAGGAATCTAATAGATACACCATTGGAATGTTCAAATGCAAGCCAGGAATCAGTGTGACAGACAAAATTGTTAGATGTAGCTTAATCCATACGCTGTGATTAGGATTATCAAATTGAGTTACTAATCTACAATCTAGGGCTAAAGCATCGAGTTTCATGATCAAAACAACAGTTAATAACTGCATCTCTTGTCCAAGACCAGGTGTTTGGTGAGTGTGCTTGTATGCATGGGACATATGTTGCTTGTCTCCTTTTTACCATTATTATAACATTCCATTACCACCTACTACATTTTCTGTAATTAATGAAGACATCACATTTGGAGTGTGTTTCTCTAACAATATCCTTTCAAGAAAAAAAAATTGACAAAATTGTTGTCAGTCCACATCCACCTTGTAGAAAACCTGAGAGTTGCAAGATAACACACTGTTTAGATCAATGAAGAGACAAGTTACTTACATGTTTCAACCATTTGTGGTAATTTGTTGTGATATTAGCTCTCCTCCAAGTGTCAAGATCAAAGACATTCATGCCATAGAGCCAAGCACAACGTTCAGGGTCAAAGTTGGAAGAAATTATTGAGTGAGAAAAATTCAAATAATCTTTATATCTTCTTCCTGGGCAGCAGTTTTCGCCACACCATGAGTCAACAACAGCACCAACAACTTTCTGGTTGAGATCCAATTCCCACAAAGATGATATGTCATGTTGCACCACTACATCGTCATCCAAGAAAACTATCTTGTTGAGACCGGGAAAAAGCTGTGTAGCCCATGAAAGTCAAATGATAGATCTATCATTATTAGATACTTCATATTTTCAACATCATCCATCCAATCATAGAAGATCATATGAATTTTTAGTAATACCTCAGGAATATAAATTCGGAGATGATTCAGAAGGGAAAGACAGCTAGGATTTAAAGCCTCAAGACTTCTATGCTTTCCCTCATGTAGAAGATCTTCTTTCATATTGGTGTAGTAATGGCTCCAAATAATGCGATGAATCTCTAACATCTCCCTAACTCCAAGATTCACTTCCTGGGACCAGTCATATTGGTGCAATCCCTTAATTTCAACAACTACTGATTTAATAGGATTGATAGCAAACCATGCATGCATCGAGGTGTAAGTTTTCTTGTCAGTAATTATGTGGAACACCAATTTTTCAGGGCTGGCTGAGTTTTGGACAGTAGACGATATGACAACTGAGGCAGCAAGAACATTATCAGTTATGAGAATAACATGATGAAAGGAAGGGTCTGCCAGACGATAAACATATTCAGGTGGAGGTAAACGAGATCGGGCTATGGCATTTATGGCATATTCCTCAGCCAATTTTAGACAAAGGCAATGTAGGCTCTTTGGAATACCATGTGAAGCTAAATGCCAGTAAACCAATTCACGCTGTCTGGCTGATTGCACCTTGTGCTCCATTTTTGATAGCTGCAACATTTGACCAAAAATAAATGCCTTTGATTTGAATGAGAATTACCAGTAGACGACATGATAATGATGAAGAAATTTTGCTTAATGCATATTAACATCTGGAAATAGGTTATTAATCAAGATATCTTCTTGGCTCATCTGTAAGATTCAGTGCACAATATAGAAGAGAATAGTTGAGAACTACTTATGGTTATAAAGCAGTAGTAGAATAGTGCATGTTCATTTTTCTTTATTTTAATAAAAAGAACTGCAACATCAAACCCCACTGCCAAACTAAACATGCATGCTGGTCCAATAATAGACAAGAAATCAACACATACATGACACAGACGTGAAACGGTTGTAGTTCCTAACACCAAGCCTGTTAGTATTATAAAAATTGACAATCGGACCTTGTATCATAATGCTTTATGTGCCACAAGCAAAATGATGCCTGCCACACAAAGGATGAAGTCAAGTGATCAACACCGTGGATAGGCCAGACCTCTTAATAACAGAAGTTGCTGCATCTGCATTCTAATTGACCACTCACTAAATCTGAAAAATCTTTATTGCTTCTTCTGAAGTTTTATGCACTCCACTCATGCATAAAACTCATCGTAGAATGGAGCCTAGAGAAGATCACATACAAACTCTATCAGTGAGAAGATAGTTGCAAAGCGAGCACATCCTAATTTTCACAGAAAAAATGCAGTGAAATCATCAAAGGAAAAACCTAATAAATCTGCCTAAACTATGCTTGATGACCTTGGGAATAAACGTTCTCTATAACTTTGACAAATGTCTATCTTAAACTCTCTATAAAACTAAAATATTGCACAATCCCAATCCTATTCCTTAACGGATGGATGCCCATTCTGGACGAGCTAACAAAGTGAGGCTCAAACTAGAAAATTACTTTACGCCCTCTATGGTAGAGACTGCATTTGCTTCTATATAGGGATACGATAATAGACAACACAAGTGCGATAACAGAAGCTCAACATGAAATTAGAGAGCTTGGATCTACCCTACTCGTAGCCTGAGATTGTCATTCTGTGCCTTGCCGTGGTCCTCATGGGTAAAATTGTGTCATACCTTGAACTAAGAACGAGATAAAATTCAAATATTAATTTTTTGTTTTCATTTTTTGTGCCAGATTGAAACGTATTCAAAAACCTCACATTAATAACATATATAACCAAAAGCACCAACACTGAATTTCTTTTTTTATCTATTACTTATCTGATATATTTAATGCAATACAGAGATTTCATATTTAATTTGCATGTTTATTGAGTTTTATAACATATATAACCAAAAGCACCAATACTGAATTTTTTTTTTATATTTTATTTATCTGATATATTTAATGCAATATATAGATTTCATATTTAATTTGCATGTTTATTAGGTCGCTTCACTCTCAACTTTAAATTAACAGTAGGAGGGGTGAGACTTTTGCGACCTCTTTATGTATTTGGCGATTTTTGGGAACTGCCTTTCACCCTAATTTAAACTTCTTGGTAAAGAAGGATGACTTTTTGTAATTGGACTCTTTTCTTTTCTATTGATAGGTTTTTTATAGTGCTGGGATTTGAGCTCTTATCACTTACTCTTCCAATAGACTCATTTATAGAAACTTACAATCCCAGGATGTGGTTTTAACGATACTCTGGATGCTGCTAACAGAGGGAAGGGATCACATACAACTTTAATCAGTTGGAGGAAGGATAAGTTGCAAAGCGGGGAGCACATTCTAAAATTTTCCACAGGGAAAAAATGGCAGGTGAAATCATTCAAAGGGAACAAAACCATAGAATTAAAGTTCGTGCCCTCCAAAAAATCTATTAGTGCCTTTTGTAGAAGATTTGATCAGTTTTTTATGGCGCACAATACTAACGTTCTCTATAAAATCGTACTACTTTATTTCGAACATACATAAATTGTTAACTCTTTAAAAACTCTCCTAATACAACTAAAATATGGCACAATCGCCCAATCCTATTTAAATTGGGCTATAACCGAGATGTTGGAAATGCCCAATAGGGATTTTAATTCTCAGGACCAGAGCTAACAAAAGTAGCGAGGGTCAACACTCGTGACGTTCACAACACCTCTTACAATGCATCTAACGCCCCCTCTATGGTAGAGACTGCATTGGCTTCTATATAGGGATACGATAAGACACACAAGTGCGATAGACAGAAGCTGTCAACATGAAAATTAGAGAGCTTGGGATCTACCCTACTCCGTTCAGATGAAGCAAACTATGTCATTCTGTGGGCTTGCGTGTCCTCATGGGTAAAAATTGTGTCATACCTTGAACTAAGAACGAGATTAAAATTCCAAATATTAATTTTTTGTTTTTCATTTTTTGTGCCCAAGATTGAAACGTCCCACTGTTCGCAACTAAAACGCGCTCACAGTCATATGACTTTCAACTTATAGTGAGAATCTAGGCAATAATACCCAAAGAAGCCACACATCAGACACACTTCGAATTCTGCTGTTTCTCTTTATCTCATTACAATTCACTCACCCAGTCAATATATATGCAGCTGAATGCAATACAGAGATTCATATTTAATTTGCATGGTTTATGGAGTTTTATAACATATATAACCAAAAGAGCGGGCCCGCCAGATATACTGCTCGGGTATACATGTATTTTCTCAATTTATATTTTTATTTATATATAACTTGGGAATAATAATTTTTTATATAATATTTTATTTTTTAGGAATATTTCTAAATATTTAACTTTATTTGCAACACGGTAGTTTCCATTGAAGCTATTCTTCATCTTACTTCATACCACTATCTCTATGGAGACTCAAGAAACAGTGTATAGGTACATCAGATATACATGATATACAGAGGTAGAGTAATCTATACAAATGAGGCAAAACACTATGGTTAATATAGTCTCCTAATTCATGGTAATGCAACTGATGTTGACTTTATACCATATGTGGACCAATCCATACTCCATTACAAAAGGAAAATAGGGCACACATCGCCAGATACAGATTAATCTTCGGATTTTTTGGTAACAGGGCAAACCATGTCACGTGTAATTTAAACACAAGTCAAGGTGCAATCTACAAATCGCTAACAAGAGCTTCCAAATTTTCTGAGGCCATGAGTTGAAAGAGACTCATTGGATAATTTGGCCACGATACAGTATGTTGACTAGAGAATAGAGATATAGATAGAAGATAGAAAGAATGAGAAAATATAGAAAATTAGATAGCTCTATGGCACCCTCTATAATATAGACGAGAAATAAAAAGAAGAATATAATATATATGAGAGTTATTACGGAACGGTAACACCAATAATAGCAGAGTACGCCACCAAACGATTGATAGAATAATATACAATATAATAATATAGATGGCATTGAGGAAAGCAATCTCTCACTATACTCTAGCAATGGAACAGCGCTTGGATAGAGTTTTTTTTTTTATCAATAGATAATATTAGAGAATTTATATTACAAATAAGGAATCTAGGTTTAACCAAAGCATAAACACACACACGCTAAGTCACTCCGCCTTCAAATAGTGTCTGTGCGAAGGTGCCAAGTATCTGATAGATATATATAGTGATAGTATTGGTGCGGGCCACTGTAAGCAAGGCCGTGCTTCCTCCACTGTAGCAGTCAAGTAATTTATATGGTGTTCTTAGGCCAATCAAATTAGAGCCTATGAATGCCTTCAGTTCCTGCAAACACTTGTTGATAGCGCATCATGAGATTATTAGTGATTTTTGGCTTGAACATATAGATATGGTTGCCCCATAATAGTTGGCGAGATCCTTGTCGGTCCTGGGATGAGTATCACTATACGTAGTATCCGGGCGGATGCCTTGGTCAGTTGACGGTGTGTGGATCGTATATTATTATAGATATATGATATTATGGCACCCATGTAAGAGACAAAATCACTACAGTATAGGTCGGACACCATACTCACCTGGTAAGTCGTATCATTGTAGGCGTTGGTCATTGAAACGCGTTCCAGACTTGGAATAGAGATATACGATGATTAGCTTAGACTTCGTTGGTTGGAGATATACCTGAAGAGGCACATCTCGAGGATCTTTCTTCCTTCCTTTATAGCCTTGTCAGCATAACCTGTTTGTTCCTACTTTTATTATATTGTGAGTTCTCATGTAAGACTTCACCGCTTATATATAGTATATTATTATAAGTTGGCTCATGTAGAGATGAGATAGATAGTTGTAGATATTCCATGATTCATGGGAGTAAAACTGGTAGTTTAGATGTTATTGCTTTCAATAAATGGCAAACCAATCCTCCCCAGTTTTCATTTTTACCACTATAGTACGAGTAAAGTTCAGATTTTGATATTAATGATATGTTTGATAGGTGAGATGTCGTAAGTTATTATAGATACCAACGTTTTACCCCACAACCCGCCAATAGTAGGGGTTGTCTATCAGACGTCGTTGTGGCTAGCTTGTACATATCTAAAGAATAATTTGCGTGCATGTTAGATGGATGTGGCCAATTTTGCTGAACCTTCCATTACTTTACTGTCTCTACCATGCCTAGTCTTGGTAATCCAAGTAATTAGATATATAGGGGAGCTGGACTGGTAAGGCATATACAACCTGAGAGTAGTTGTATTTAGAGTGTATATGATTAGGAATCACAAACTTTTGGACTACTTGTATGGGCCTTAGATTTATTATTAGATATGTATATTATAGGTCCACCAAATGTCCTCAATCCCACAATGAGACTCAAGTACAAGCAAATCGCTAGATGATTTGGCATGCAGTTATATTAGCCCTACATACCCTTCGTGTCGATAATATAGCCATGTTATGCTGACAATCAGAGTCCAGATGCATACAAATCTTAAGCCACATACTCAAATCCTATATAGAGACTAAGAGTGATAGATTAGAGATATATCTCACAGTAGAATAGTCACACGTTATCTTTTGATATGATATATATAGTAGGTTGTTATTAGTTCAACATA